TAAGACAATTATAAAAGGAAGGCTTTAAGAATGGCATTAAATTCTCCAATTGAGGGCTGAAAGGTTGGAGCTTATTAACGCAATCCAGGCATCATTAAAGAGTCAAAGCAACAATGTCCCTGGGTGAAGAATACTCTCACAGGCTCTTGTTTTCTCCTGACAGAGTTAGAAGGACACCACCCCCAATTTGGATCGCCATCTATGTGTTTGATATTTAGAGAGATGACTCATTAGGTCACTCCAATCTTGTTCCACCTGATCATCCCTGCTTTTATAAGATACAACTCCTGTCTTCACTGCACTTAGCAAGTTAACGCTGTACCAAGCATAGCCTATCCATCTTGTAATCACATATTTTTAGAAAAGATTTATTTATTTTTACTTTATTTGGATGAGTGTTTGTCTACATGTAGATATGTATACCATGTGTGTGCCCACAGAGGCAGAAGAGGATGTTAGATCTCTTGGCACCCATAGTTTGTTGTGAGCCACCATGTGAGTAATAGGACTAGAGCCCAGGTCTGCAAAGGCAGTCCGCATCCTAACACTCCTTAACAGCTAAAGCCAGCTCTCTGGTCCCATAATTACATTCATTTATTTTATCTACAAACCAAGCAGATCAATAAGTGACTCCTGAAAGACCTAACCAAGGCTAAAAGCACCACATCAGGGTGCTTAGATTCTGAAGTAACAATCACGGCAGCATGCATCTGCTGAGCATCCAGCTAACTTCACCTTAACAGTAACCCTGGCAAATGTGGAAGATTAAGACCAAACATGGCAAGTAAAGGCAGATGATTTGAACCCAGATGATCTTGAATCCCAGAAGGCTCAGAGCTTCTCACAGACATGAGATACAGCCCTGAAACCCTAACACTGCCTCCCATCCTCCTCATCCCACTGTAACAGGCAGGAACCTGTCACAGAAACAGTTTCTGGTAAGGACTCTTTACCATCTAAGCACTTCAGCTTTCATTGGTCACTTACAGTTCTTACCAAAATTAATGATAATCTACACATTATCTTTAAAAAATATTATACTTTTTGGGGTTGGAGAGATTCAGTGGTTAAGAACACTGGCTGTTCTTGAGGACTGGGGGTTCAATTCCCAGCAGCCACATGGTGGCTCACAACTGTCTTGTTCTATAACTCCAGTTTTAAGGGATCCGACACCCTCACACAGACATACATGCCAGAAAAAGACCAATGCACATAAAATAAATCACTTTTAAAAAAGTAAAGCAAGGGAGCCTAGGCAGTTTGGATGCTCACCTTACTAGACCTGGATGGAGGTGGGTGGTCCTTGGACTTCCCACAGGGCAGGGAACCCTGATTGCTCTTTGGGCTGATGAGGGAGGGGGACTAGATAGGGGAAGGGGAGGGAAATGGGAGGCGGTGCGGGGAGGAGGCAGAAATCTTTAATAAATAAATAAATAGATAAATAAATAAAAGTAAAGCAAGAGGGGGCTGGAGAGATGGCTCAGTGGTTAAGAGCATTGCCTGCTCTTCCAAAGGTCCTGAGTTCAATTCCCGGCAACCACATGGTGGCTCACAACCATCTGTAATGAGGTCTGGTGCCCTCTTCTGGACTGCAGACATACACACAGACAGACTATTGTATACATAATAAATAAATAAATAAATATTTTTTTTTAAAAAGTAAAGCAAGAGAAAAAAAATCCTGCTTTAAAAATAAATAAAGCTGGGAAGTGACCTTTAATCCCAGCACTCAGGAGGCAGAGGCAGAGGTAGGCGAATCTCTGTGAGTTCGAGGCCAGCCTGGTCTGCAGAGTGAGTTCCAGGACAAGCTCCAAAACTACAGAGAAACCCTGTCTTGAAAAACAAAAATAAACAAAACGCATTATACTTTTTACCCACTTCCACTTCAGTCATTTTTCCTTATTTCTTCCTCTTTTTTGTACATACATGTGATACACATTCAGAGTATGCACGGTCATGTGTGGGAGTGTATACTCTCACCCTTGGGCACGGAGGCCCAAAGTTGATGCTGGATTTCTTTCTTGATTGCTCTCCAGTTCCCCAGGCAGTGTCTCCCACTGAACCTGAGCTTACCAATTCAGCTCGTTAGCTAACCAGCTTGCCCCAAGAACTCCCTATCTCTACCTCCCAAGTGCTTGTGCTATAGGCAGTCACCACACCTGCTTGTCTTATATACACGTGGGTTCTGGGGAGCTGAACTCTGGTCTTCACACTCATGCTGCAAGCACTTTATATACTGAGCTCTCTTCCAGCCCCACACATTTCTCTTCTTAAATGGAATTACTTAAACCCAAGACAAGGTCTTGAGATACAGAGTGAAGGAACACCACATATGCTGTGATGTTTTTACTGCTTAGCCGGGCGGTGGTGGCGCACACCTTTAATCCCAGCACTCGGGAGGCAGAGGCAGGCGAATCTCTGTGAGTTCGAGACCAGCCTGGTCTACAAGAGCTAGTTCCAGGACAGGCTCCAAAACCACAGAGAAACCCTGTCTCGAAAAAACCAAAAAAAAAAAAAAAAAAAAAAGAAAGAAAGAAATAAAAGCAAGTCTTTTCACTAACTATACACATGGCTACTCTCTTAAAGGATGGTTCCCTTAAAGCAGTCCTGTGTGAATTCCCTAATCACTGGTAACAAGGAGCCTTCCCTCCATTTTCACATAACCCATTGAGCCATTTCTTACATACATATGTGTATGTAGTGTGCATGCATGTATGCACGCTCACATGTGGACACACATGTAGAGTAATTCAAATGTGCATTTCTACATCCTGACTTGCAAAAATCTGAACTTCTAAATAAAAACATGATCCAAGAATATCTAATAATGCACCAATGCTATGGCCCACGGGATGATTTTATAAGTAGGTCCTAGCAGTGTGATATTTGATGTTAAAATTTCTAAACAGGAAATTAAAACTATGGGTAGAATGGAGTCCAGGCAGGTTTCACCCTGAGGCTCCTGCCATTATAACTTACAGGCTGCTTTTCCAATGCTTCTACATTTCCAACTCTCAGCCCTGCTTTTTGAAACAGAAAAGCTTCAGTAACTGCCTTCGATAGAGCCCGAATTCCACAAGATTAGCTGCTTCTGGATTACACAGGCAGCAAGCACCTCCTCCCAACAACAACAGGACTCACAAATGTTTCCCACAAGGCCTAGACCTTCCACAGGGAAGTGCAAAGATCCCAAATCCATTCCGAGGTCTCAAGTGAACGCTCTCCTTGCACCAGAGAAATTTGACTGTAACAGAAAAGCAGCCTTTCTATTTGCTCAATGTGTTAGGAAAACAGTCCCTTTAAAAAGATCCCCACAGATAGCCAGGCACACACCTTTAATCCCAGCACTTGTGAGATTGGGGCCAGCCTGGTCTCCAGAGTGAGTTCCAGGACAGCCAAAGCTGTTACACGGGGAAACCCTGTCTCTGAAAACAACAGCAGCAGCAGCAGCAGCAGCAGCAGCAGCAGCAGCAAAGATCCTAACATGGAATTGCACAGGCCTTAGGGTGGTGAATTAGTAGGAAGACAGATCTGGTCAAATGTTCTGGTGCTTTCCACCCACAACTTTTCCTCTCGAAACTCCACATGGTAGACAATGGCTTGCTTTTTAGAAGTGGGCTCAAACGTCACATCAAATCTAAAGCAGATCTCGGGTCCTCTGGATCACTTTCGGCTCTTTTATCTCAAGGCAGTAACTGTTAGTATTGTTTTGTCTGCGCTCCCAGAACGTAAGCGCCACAGGAGTCAGCAAGGACTCCATTTCCCCATCATGGCCATGTCCTCAGTGTCTGGTACACTAGCACTTGATAAGTAACTAAGACGGGAGACTGATGCTGGTGTTAACTACCAAGCTTTTACCTAGTTAGACGCTAGAGACATCTCTTTCCGTAATCCATGGGTCCATTCAACAAGCAAATATTTACTGAGAAACTATTATATGCCAAACACTGTCAGAGGTGCACAGGGCACCGCACTGAACAAATCAGACAAGTATCTTTGCTGGGCAGAACCTTTATTTTAGGAACCCGCCCTAAAATGAGGCGATGTCTTGCACACTGTCCAGTGCCTAGAATATAGATCACCCTGCACGCCTTCGAGGTGAAGAGCTCAGAGTCCGGGTGTTCTCCAGTGGGACATTTTCAAATTAAGCCTCTGGGGCTCCTCAGCACCAACTGGGCAGCTCTCTCACCTGCTCTGCTCGCTCACGTGGGAGAACCCCAACCAGAACAGCCCAGGTAAAGGAAAAACTTAAAAGCAAAGGCGACTGCTTTTGAGGACTTGGAGATGGTTGAAGGGAGGAACCAGGAAACGGGACAAGAAGTCGTGGCAAGGCCCTAGGCAAGGAGGCTGGAGAACCAGCTCTGGCTGTCACCAAGTTGCTAGGTGACCTTGGGCCAGTCTCTGCCGCCCCGACACCAGCTCCCCCAGGACAGGAGGCGGAAGAAGCCGGGAGGGTGGGATTCGGGTTGGGGAAAGCGGAGGCCAGCAGGGTAACGGCCGGCGCGGGGAGACCGGTGCGGGCCAGGCCGGGGCGGCTCACTCACCGAGCGCCACCTGGCAGGCCCTACGCAGCTGGGAGTGCTGGGGCCGCTTCACCTCCTTGTCGGCTAGGATCTTCTCCAGGGCCCGGGACACGAACATGCTCTTGGTCTGGCTTTCCTGCATGGCCCCGGCCGGCGGGGGCCGGCAGCCCCGCAAGCCGGCGGCACGAGCGAGCAGGAGAGCGAGGCTGAGGGACCAGGCGTCCCGGCCGGCACTGGCCGCGTCCGTGCGCGCCGCCCTGTCAGGAAGAGACGGCCCGGCCCCACGGCGCCGCCATGTTGAGGCGCGTCACGTGACCACGTGACGGGCGGTGTCGCTACGTCTGTGCGTCGGTCGACCCTATGACCCCAAGGGCGGGGGCCAGCCCGGGGGCGGGGTCAGGATAAGGGCAGGGCTCTGTGGGGGCGTGGTGGGTGGGTGGGTGGAATGTAGTGGGTGGGGCCACGGTGGGCGTGGTCTTATGGTTGGGCGGGGCCTACACCGGTGGGGATGGGTTGGCGACCCGCCAGGGGATGCAGGGCTGGTCCAAGTGGGATGGGTCTGGTAGGGGGCGTGATAATCACTGGTGAAAGGCTGGAGAAGTGGGCAGCCCTGAAGGGGAGAGGAGGGAAGAGAGGTGACAGAGAGCATGAGACAGATAAACTGAGAAAAGAGAAAGAGGAAAGAGGGAAAGAGTAAAAAGTTGTAAAAAAGAATTGAGAGTGATAATAAGCAAGAAGAGGTCAAAGGGGAGAGAAAGGAATGAGATGACAGAGAGTAGGGACAGTGAAGAGAAAGGAGTAGCCAGGCGATGGAGGATAGGAAGATGACAAGGAGGGGTGTTGCAGGAAGGGCAGAGAAAGCGTGAGCAGAAAGAGGAAGCTCTAGTAGTGAAAACCGGGGCTGAGGACGAAGCCAGGAGGTGAGGGTGGGTATGAGAGGACGCAGAAAGAGAGGGAACAGGGCAGAGCGGACGGGAACAGAAAAGTAGGCAGAGAGAGAAAGTGGAGAAAGAGGGCACTGGAGTGGATAAAGGGGAGCAAGCGAGGAAATCTGGAAAGAACTTTCTGGCAGAGAGGAGGAAAAGAAAGGGAGTGAGAAGAGGAGCGGTGAGGTGAAGGATTTGCGTCCCTCTCAAGAAGCCAAACCAGTCCTGTTGCCCCAGGGGAGACAGCTCCTAGTTGGGTAATTTGGAGGCTTCGGCTTGATTTTTTGTTTGTTCATTTGTTTGTTTTTGTTTGTCTGTTTTGTTTTTGTTTTTACACAGGGTCTTACTTTGTAGTTTAGGCTAGCACGAAACTCTGGACCAGGCTGGCCTTGAATTTACATTAATCCTTCTGTCTCTGCTAGTGCTGGGACGAAGGACACACAGCGCCTTCTTGGTTAGGAGTTTGTTTACTTGCTGCTTTGGGTTTTTGTTTGTTTGTTTGTTTGTTTTTGATAGGAGCCCCACAGCATCCCAGGCTGACCTTGACCTTGAACTCAATGTCATCACACACACCCACTCAACTGGGATTGTAGGAGTTTGCCAGCACACCTGAATGTCTGCTTTCTAAGTGGCAGTCTTTGGTGATGCTGCCAAGAAGGACTCTCTCCCTTTTTTCCTGATCAGTTTTCATCAGCCTCACGTTCTCACAGGATGGAAGACAAGACAGGAGCCTTTGGAGCACTTGACAGGAGAAGAAACTGACTCAGAGGGCCGTGTGGCATCGTCTGTACCCGAGTGGAAGATAGAGGCACTGACCCCAGGGCAGTTTCCACTCCATGGCTCAGCAGTACTGATACCCCCAGCCTGCCTCCCCATAGGTCAGCCTTGATTCTTTGGCTCACAAGCAAATGGTTATTCCTCATGGTAATTTTGGGAATGACCCATGCCAACATGATCAAATGCTCAGCTCAAACATCCCCTATTACCTGTGTCTCCCTAGCTGGTGTTTCTAACGGCATTTGCAGACCTTCAGTGTTTGCCATTTTGTTGGGCTCAGTCCCTGGACGTGGTCCAGAGCCAGGCGGAAAGTTTCAAGACTGCAGAGTCCATTGATTCCAATGTGACTTCGAAGCTCCTGTCAATAGGAAGCAGTCTGTTTCTCCACGCCCCTGAGCCTGGGCTCCCCTCATGACTGTCCTGACCCACAGAGTGGCAGGGTGTGAGGCTGGGCACAGGGAGGCCTGGCCCGTACCTTCCTTGGCAGGGTGTTGTATGGTTCCCAGAAGAGTCCCAGAACAAAGAGCACATAGAGAGAACCCAGTTTTCCCAGCTTTAGCCAGCCCTCAGCCAACCTGTATTCTGCAGGAGAATACAACAGCATGAGACACTCTAGTGAGACCAGCAGAGATGCTCAGAAAACCCATGTGCTGGAGGGAAACAGCAAACACTTAGGTCACTATAGCTTGGAGGGATGCTTGTTACACAGCAGTCAACCACTGGAATCTCTTGATCCTTATGCCTTGAATGAATGAATGAACAAATGCATGAATGTGTGAAATTCTCAAACTACAGCACCAGGTGGAAAAGTTACACTTTGAGCTGCATATCCTGCAGGGAGGTCAGACTGAGACATTTAGGGCTCAGTGCGAGGGAACCAAAGGCAAACAAGCTCAATGCCCTTAACTGCTGGTTGTTGAGAGGATACTTTCAACAGCCTTGACAAGACACCAGGGAGAGTGGCAGGCCCTACACCAGGGAGGGTCACAGGCAAACAAGTGAAGACAGGGGGACTGTTGCCAAGGGGGAGCCTTGTTCCATACAATGCCCTTCGAAGCTCCCAGATCAGCCCAGAGAGCACGCAGACAAGCTCTGAAGGCAAAAGTCACCTGTTGGTTGACCTAAATGTCATTAATTTTGGAGTGATGCATTATGAGCCCCTCCGTACCTTCCTTGTGGATGACACTGCTGTGTGCCTTATGGTAACAGTTGCCTGGTTACGTTTGCAGACACCCAAAGGCCACTTTTACTACAGTGGTGGTGACTCCTTACTAGAGCTGCAGGACCTGATGGGCATCTGAGATGGAACAAAACTCTGGGTAGCTCCATCTTCAGACCATATCTGGCCCTGTTAACTAACTCAACCACCGAGCCAGATTCTATTCAGTTAATAAACTGGGAAATGTTTTATCCAAGACAACAATCCAAGGCGGACTTGACCTAATGTCCACTGGAGCCAATATGTGATTCTTGTGTTTCACCCTTGACAAACCAAACACCCCTAGTCTTTCAGCCTTGTTATCTAAAAGGCCCAGACTCAACCACAGCTGGAAGAGGACAGCTACGAGAGCAACACAACACTTCCTGAGCACTCTGTGCCCACCAAACACAAAGCCAAGATATGTGTGGACAAGAACATCTCTCCTTCTCTATCCCTGAGACGTGGTCTCACAAAGCTCAGGTTGGCCCTGAACTTCTGATCCTCTTGCCTCTTCCTCCCCACTGCTGGGATTCCAGACCCGTGCCTTGTCTACATAGTTTTGGAGCTCAAGTCCAGAGTTTCAGGCCTGCTAGGCAAGTACTCTTACCAGCCGAGGCACATCCCCAGCCCAAAAATTGCATGAATAATGAACGGACGACTGCCAAACTTTAACCCTGTTCCCATAAGACAATCAATAGAGATCTTCACTTCCCTTTGTCAGGCTGGTGTCTGGGAACCTCTGGTTTCCCTAGGCTTGAGTGACAGTAAAGGAACCCTGCCTATCTCATGCCTTGGTCTCCTTTCTCCCTTTATACACTATATGATCTGCCACCCACTATGAAGATCATGCCACCCCTCTACCTAAAACCCAGAGCTGGCTCCCTGTTAGCTGTGGAGCTGACTCTCAATACCATTCTATGGTGACAAGCTGGCATGGCCCCCCTAAGCTCTCAGACCTCATCTCCCATCTTTTCCTCCTTCTTGGGGATGGCAGGCTGCTCTAGGCTCCTTTGTGTCCCTTTAAGACTTTGGCCTTTAGCCAGGTGATGGTGATGCATCCCTTTAATCCTAGGAAGGTGGAGGCAGGCATGCAGCCCTCTGAGTCTGAGGCGAGCCTGGTCTACAGAATGAGCTCCAGGACAGCCAGGGCTACAAAGAGAAGCCTTGTACCAAAAACCGAGGGGGGAGGAGGCTTCTGAACTCCTGTGCCTCTCAATCAGTGCTTCTCTATAAAGGCCAAGGTCCCCAGAGGTGTTTTGAAATTTGGGGGTGGGATAATGGGGGTTGAACCCATGTATGTGCTTGGCAAGTGATATATCAGAGAGCTACACCCTCAGCCTTTGTTTTATATTTTACTTTGAGACAGGTTCTCACCAGATTACATAGGTCTTGAACTCAAAGTGGGCCTGAAGTTGTGATGTCCTGTCTCAGCTTCCTGAGTAGCTGGGGCTGCAGGCCTGGGCCACAGCCAGCATTTTGCCGGAATTATACCATCCAGATCTGGGTCAGCCCATAAAACAAGGATTGCATGTGCCTTGTGGCTGGACAGTGCTGGAGCTGAGGGACAGGACCTAGGAATGGAGTCTACTTTGCATAAAAGCACACAGTATGTTTTGCATAGCTTGGGTCCATCTCCCCTTCTAGAGACAGGGTCACATGTAACTCAGATTAGCCTTGAACGCAATATGTAGCTGAGAATGATTTGAACTCTTGATTCTCCTGCCTCTGCTCCCCAGGTGCTGGGATTCCAGGTGCGTCCCATTACTCCCAACCGTAATTTGAATACTGTAAAGCTCTCCAGAAATACAACTCTCATTGTAAGTCAAGGGGCCATGACATTTTGTCTGGAATCTCACTGCACAGTGCTTGCCACCTGATGTGTTTGAAAGCACAATGATCATGCATTTCAAGTGGGGGCCATTCCTTTCAGAAGGCTGAGCCATCTTTAAGGTGGAGCCTTGCTGAAGAAAGTGGGGGTGTAACAGCCCTGTCTGTCCTGGAACTCGCTCCGTAGACCAGGCTGGCCTCAAACTCACAGAGATCCGCCTGCCTCTGCCTCCTGAGTGCTGGGATTAAAGACGTGTGTGACCACCACCGGCTGGGGCTCAAGGTTTTATAGACCGGCCTCTCTTCCTGTCTGCTCTCTGCTTGTGGACTACCAGTGTGACATGATGGGCTGTAACCCTTTTCACATTGGAGGCTGAACAAACCCTTCCTCCGAAGTAACTCTTGTCAGAGACTGAAGTAACTAACCATCACCTGACAACCTGAGCACCGTCGTTCCTGCTAGTGACTGGTGCGGTACTGGTGGGTCCGTAGCTGCAGCTGCAGTGGGAGGGGTTGGCAGATGCTGCCTGTGGGTGGCAGCTCCATCCTGTATTCTAGTGTAATTGTGCCTGTTGATCTATTGAAATAAAATTAGTAAATTATACACTGCTTTCTTTTGGCTTATCTTTTAAGGTCGTTATCATTTATTAAAACTATGAGTGTAGGAAGATGCTATTATCTATGAGTTTCTTTTCAAATTTGTTCCTGGAGGCCTTTGGGTATGAAATGAGATGTATACTACCTACTGAGACTGTAAACATGCCTTTGGCCCCTTCCCCTCATCTCTGTTATCAGCTCAGTGTCACAAACAGGAGGCCTTCCCCATCTGAAGCCCCTCCTTCATCACCTGCTTCCACATTATCCTGACCACTTTCTTAC